TCTGATCTCTTGACTGCTGCTTCCGCGAGTGTTGATAGTTGATCCAAGAAGAATGAAGTCCTTGACAACTTCAATCTTTTCTCCGTTGATAAAAATGTTGTTTATTGGTCCAGTGGTGAGGATTTTTGTTTTCTTGACATTGAGATGCAATCCATACTGAAGGCTGTGCTTTTTGATCTTCATCAGTAAATGTTTTAAGTCCTCCTCACTTTCAACAAGCAAGGTTGTATCATCTGCATATCACACGTTGTTAATGAGTCTTCCTCCAATCCAGATGCCTTGTTTTCCTTCATATAGCCCAGCTTCTCAGATTATTTGCTCAGCATACAGGTTGAATAAGTATGGTAAAAGAATATAACCCTGTCGCACACCTTTCTTAATTTGAAACCATTCAGTGTTCCCATGTTCTGTTTGAACAACTGCCTCTTGGTCCAGGTACAGATTCCTCATGAGCACAATTAAGTGTTCCGAAATACTCATACTTTGCAATGTTGTCCATACCTTGTCATGATCCGCACAATCGAAAGCCTTTGCATAGTCAATAAAGCACAGGCAAACATCTTTCTGATATTCTCTGCTTTTATCCAAGATCCATCGGACATCAGCAATGATATCCCTTATTCCATGTCCTCAATCTAGCTTGAACCTCTGGAAGTTCTCTATCAATGTATCTCTATCAATGCTTGTAGCTGTTTCTGTATTTGCAGAGAGCCATCTTCACTTCTGCTGTTTGACATGGTCCCAGCAGAAAGAGAGACATCATGCAAAGCAGATAACTCTCAAAAGCTCGTCTCTATCTTCCCTTCAAGTTAACTCTGAATTCACTTGTAAAAAATATATAATACTGCCCTATTCACAGCTTTTACTGTGAGCTCTACAAACCTTGGGATAAAACAATTATCTCAATTTCAGTAGCCTGAATTCAAAGAGAATTGTATAAGCAACTCCCCTTCACAGAAAACCTAAGTACAAAGTAACTGCATTTGTGAGACCACAAAAGCAGATAACAAATTAAAGTCAAGCTGACCTACCCCTATAGACCTCACAACAATCAGTCACAAGCCAGAATTCACAAACCCCTACATACAAGCACCTGCGTAAATAGGCAGAAAATAATGAACTTAAGTGAAGGATAGTTTTAACTTGATAATCTACATTTCCTGCAGCAATTAGCCAGGTTGGGCTTTATGCCACGTAGCTTCAAAAGAAAAGAAACATAAAAACATTGTTATCAAGCAATTTAATGAATACTTTAGAAAAATAGATAAGTAGATGTTAGTAATACTTTTACTATGAAAATAGTAGCACATTATGTAGGATAGAAGATTGATAACTAGTTAGTAGAAATAATAAGGTAGTGCAAGCATTGATGATTAATAGAAACTTATGTTACTAAGAAAATGTAATCAGGGGTCTGATAAGTAGAAATGATTTGTGTAAAGTTTGACTTAATCTTTTAGTGGAAACAAGAAGAAACAGTTTATCACATACTGGGAAAGGAGATGAAAGTCAGTTTGAACATCACAGAAATATTTTTGTCAAAGTTGTCTAACGACCAGGTGTAAGAATGCTATGACAAACTGTGTAATAATTCAAGGAAAGATCAAAGTAGCAATTCATTATGTATTGTGTGATTTTAAGTTAAAAATAAAGACTTGCTGAGCCGGGCCAGGAGAAGGAGAGAGAAAAAGACAGAGAGAGAGAGCCCCATCAGCCAACTAAGCAGAGGCTCTCGATTGCTTTCATTTTCGCCGACTCCGCGTCTCCTCTCGTGTCCCACAACCCCGCGAGAGCTGGACTCCTGCATGTACTACCTTTAGTAAAACTCGTGTGGGATATCAAAGATATCGTCCAATGATTTCCGCATTCCGTTGGGTCACCTCTCTTTGGAATGGGCACAAATACGGATCTCTTCCTGGCAGTTGGCCAGATAAACTGTTTTCCAAATTTCTTGGCAGAGATGGGCGAGTGCCTCCAGTGTCGCCTCACTTTCTTGAAAGATTTCAAGTTTTATTCCATCAATTCCTGGTGCCTTGTTCTATGCCAATTCTCTCAGTGGACCTTGGACTTCTTCCTCAGTATCATTGGCTCTTGATCATATGCTACCTCTTGAAATGGTTGAATATCAACCATTTCCTTTTGGTACAGCGACTCTGTGTATTCCTTACAACTTCTTTTGATGCTTTCTGCATCATTCAATAATTTGCCCAGAGAATCCTTCAGTAACAAAAGTTGACGCTTGAATTTTGTCTTCAGTTCCCCCAGCTTGAGAGACCTGGAGGGAGGGTCAAGTGCAGCACAAGGTTAGCATATTTTATTGTTTTATGCCTCACTTGGTGGCATTTTGCACAGTATCTGCAACGTCTATCAGTACCATTTTTCCAACAGCATGGGTTCACTTTTTTTCTCTGTGTCATATTTTGGTAATTCTTACAATATTTAAAACTTTTTCCTAATGCTATTGCATACTTAATTGACTATAATAAAGTAGAAACATAACTTTTCTAGGCACTGGGAAATCAAAACTAGTGTGGGACTTGTTTTATGTGATATTCATTTTATTGCAGTGGTCTAGAACTAAACCTTTAATATTTACAAGATATGCCTGTAGATGACATCATGTGCTCACTTTGTTTCTCTGTGTCACATTTTGGTAATTCTTACAATTTTTCAAACTTTTCCCTAATGCTATTGCATACTTAATTGACCATAATAAAGCAGAAACATAATTTTTCTAGGCACTGGGAAACCAAAACTAGTGTGTGACTCACTTTATGTGATATTCATTTTATTGTGGTGGTCTGTGATGCCTCTAGATGACATCACAAGGAGTAAGATTCTCTTTGGAACTTCAGAGATTTTAGGAAACAAAGAGTTCAGCCATCTTTTCCTAGAGAGAGAGGTCTGACTCCCTGGCTTCTTCCGATCCTGTGGTGGTAAGTCAGTTTTTATGTGAGTGGCTTCTCACCTGGCATGGGTTTCAGTAAGCCCTAACAAACAGTAGAGAAATGTATCAGTTATAAGTGCCTTAAATGACAGAATTCCCAAAGTATAGTGGCTCAGACAAGAGTTTATTTTTCTCATACCAGTAAGTCCAGTGTTGGGGAAATACAAGTCTTGCTTAGTGGCTTAAAATTGTCAAAACCAGAATAGATGTGATTTTCTTGGTCTTTTCATCTTATAGGTGAGCTCTGGTGGTGGAGTTGTTGAGTGCTGGGATGCTGACCAACAGGTTGGCAGTTCAAACCCACCAGTGACTCCACACAAAGATGACAGTCTTGGAAACTTTATGGGACAGTTCCTCTGTCCATATGGTCACTGTGAGTTGGAATTGATTCCATAGCAGCCGTTTTTTGTCCTCACAGACATTGCCTCATAACCACAAGATGGCCACCTGAGCTTCAGGCAACATGAAGGGAAATGGTAGTGTCATCGCTTTTATCAAGGCAGTAGAACTTCTTCCCAGAAGTTACCCATCAGATTTCTACTATGTTTCATTGTCTAGAACTGTGTCAGATAGCTACATCTAGCCACTAGGGTGGCTAGGAAAGGGAGTAGTCCACTTTTTTAGGTCCTCTGCTTAAATGTAGTAAAACAAAAAGGAGGGGGGATGACTGTTGTTGGACCAGGCAATGAAAAATCTCTGCCCAAATTCATCATGAAGTCCTTCAAAATGTTTATTGAGCACCTGAGTACCTATAGTCTAGGTAGTGTACAACAAACAAAATAGACACAAATCCCTGCCCTTGTGGGGCTTACTTTCTTTTCAGGAGAAACAGATAATAAAATAAAATAGTCAACTGTATTCATTGAAAAGGTGAAGGAGCTAAGGAAATGAGTTACGTGATTAGGAGAGGTTAAAAGCATTCCTTGGAGAAGTTATGTTGTTATGTTGTTAAGTGCCATCGAGTCAATTCTGACTCATGCTGACCACATATAGAGTTTCCAAGGAGCGGCTGATGAGTTTGAACCACCAACTTTGTGGTTCACACTGACCTTGTGGTGCAATGCTTTATCCCAAAGCACCACACCAGGACTCCTGGTGAGGTAGTTGTTGTAAAATATCCTGGAGTCAGTACCGACTCATAGGGACCCTGTACAGGGTTTCCTTTGTGTCTGGCTTGTTCAAGAGCAAATGAGGTTGAATCAGAGTGATCAAGAGAATAGTAGGATATGAGGTCAGTGAAGTAGCTAGGATCTAGATCATAGAGGGCTTGGTCAACCATGATAAAGACTTTGGCTCTTCCAGGCGGCCTGATGTGGTGCTGTGCGTTAATGCGCTGGACTACAAAGTCTGTTTGAACTGCAAGGTTAGGGTAGTTCAAACTCACCAGCTGCTCATCAGAAACCCTATACAGGGTCGCTATGGGTCGGAACTGACTTGACGGCATTTAACAACAAAAACAAATGAGTGAGATGTGGTGATATTGCAGGGTTTCAGGCAATATATACAGATTCACAGTTGAACAAAATCTTATGGGTACTCTGTGGAGAATGGGCTGAAGGGGGTGGACACATTGGCAGTGGAGGTGGTGAGAAGTAGCCAGATTCTGGATACATTTTATAGATAAAGCTAAGAGGATTTTTTTGGTGAGTAAGGTGTGGCGTGAAGGAGAGGAGGCAAAGATAAACACTGCAGAGTTGAGCTGAACAATTGTAAGATTTTTTACTAATTAGGTCGGGAAGGAATAAAGGGGTGGGTCGCTTTAGAGGGCATGTAAGATTTCTGACCTGACTGAGCATAAGTTTGGTATTTGGTTTTGTTTGGAGGGGGGAGGTGTTTATTTGTTTGTTTGGAGGGGGGATGTATCTGGCTTGGATCAGGATTCGCTGTGCCGATTATTCAGTTATGTCTGTGTTCATGCAAGTGAGAAGCATTTTATACTAAGAATTAAACCATCCTTTTCTGATTTTTCAGGAAAAGTTGCCTTGAAAAGAGTGACTAGCTAACGACGAGGAAATCTTCCCTTCACCCAGTGAGCTAGGAGTGTGGGTTACTCATGGAACTGCAGAAGCTGCTGACCATAGGATTTCTGCTGTGCTCTCTGACTTGCATTTTGTTGGAGACTGTAGTTTCCTCTTCGTCTGTATCTGTTGCCTTTGGAATGCAAGACAAAGCAGAGTTTGAAGAGCGCACAAGGGGTGTGTTTGCTATCAGAATGAATTCACCCTACATCATAAGATGTAAGGTTCATGTCTCAGGTCAGGAAAGACTGATTTTGTTTTAAAATATCAGTATTCACAGGAAAACAAACTATTCTGGTTTAATCCAACTGAGACTTGACAAAAGTGGTTAAATTTAGGTGAACTTGAGTGTGGACACTGATGATTCACTGCTTCAGGTCCTATGACTGCATGCTGCAGCCTCATCTTCACCAGCCAACTGCCCTCAAAGCTCTCCCTACCAATTACCTACCTTGTGGTAGCCTTCTTTTTCTTCCCAGAGTACTCACTGCCCTTAGCCTCCGAGAACTCCCAAGACAGACTCTAGGAAACAACACTTTAATAAAAACTTTCCTGCTTTCACAAAGTACCCCATTTATTCACTAAGACCTCAAAACACCCCTTAGGATCACTAGGGCAGAGATTACTGTTGCTGTTTTTATGAGGAGACAAAACTGATAGCCATTGGACTTTGGCATGTTTTTATGTGTTCTGCTTGAGCACCTTAGATGCGGAACAGCAAAGTAACTAAGGATATGGGCTCTTGAGCAACTGTTTGAACTTGAACTCAGGTTCTAGACCCAGCCACATCACTTACTTACAGTGTAACTTAGGCCAAGGTGCTTGATCTCTCTCCTCAATGAACATCTGTGTTCTTTCTTCAGAAAACCGCAAAGCCTGGCCAGATGACTTCAGGGGTTCTTTGTGGATTCTGATCAAGAGCTTCGTACCTCCAACAGCTATTTTTGCTTTGTTTTTCTCTATGATGCTAATGGGGATCCTCTGCTGCCTCACGTAAGCTGCTATGGGATGAGAAGAGAGGAAACACAAGGGAGGGAGGGTAACAATCCGTCCCCACCAGTCTGCATGCCTGTAATTCAGGGGAACTTTTGAAGAGGATTGTGGGAACAAAACTGATGGTCATGCAACTCCCTCTTTAAAAGTCACTTCTTTTCTACATCCAATCTGCTCTATTACTACAAAGGTGATATTTGGTAGCCTGTGTTTTCAGCTGATTATTTCATTAACTCCTAATTTTCCTTCCGTTTAGCTCTGGAATGATACATGGAAAATACACCAAATTCACCAAGCTAATTTTCTACATAAATAAAACTAATTCAATGTTAATCCTTAGAAAAACAAGTTAGGCATGGCTTTTATCCAAAGATATTTCTAAGGAAAACAAAATATTCAGGCATAAACTAGAAAAGCCCAGATTTTGTTAAACTAATCAGTATTTACCAAGAGCTAATGGTTTGACGGACTCAAAAAGAACAAACTGGTAAAATTGGAGACAGAGTTCAAGTCAGGGAACCTATGAAATACACTATCTTACCTGTGATCAACAAAAGTATTCAAATAAATGAGGTCAGGAAACAGTTAGCCAGTTTTCAGGTAGAAATGAAAAGGAGTACAGAGGAGAACTTTGGGATGAAAAAAGACTTTGCATATAAGAGACTAAGCTAACTTCACAATCTAATATAAAGTGGCCGAGGGCAAAGATCAGATTAAGGGTGTGGCATCCCCATTCACAACTCCCAACAGTCTCAAAATGAATCAGGATTATGAACTATGGCTAGGAAATAACCTAAAACAATATTTGGACCATGAGAAAGGCTCAAGGTTTGAGGACGTTGTAACTCCTAGGAGAGCACGCTTGCTTTAAGAGCAGCCTTAGAAAATCAGGGATGAGCAGAGCTTCCTTGGAGAGAACAATGGATCTCCTAAAAAGCCGGATCTGAACCTGATCAATCTCTGCCTCCTTGTGCCACTCAGTCTTCCACTTTCCAAATGGGTGTGTTGATGGTAGTTATCTGCTTCCTGCTTCATCATTGTACGTGGACTGTGGAGAGCAGGGGTCAGGTAGCGTTTGTTTCCGTGTTCATAGGTCACTGAACCAAGAGGCTCCCACCCAGACTTGCGAGAACCAAACTGGACCTTGAGCTGGACACAGTGAAGAATGGGGTTGTGGAAGCAGACTCTGAAACAGAATATTTATTTTAGGGTCAATATCTGTAGAAGAAAGGGGGAGAAATCAAGCTGTCTTGCAAGCCCAACAAAGCCTCGCTTAACCTCACAGGGAGCTCTGACGTGTTTACAGCCAGTTAGAGTTGGCCTAAATTATCCTGAACAATTAGAACCTCACCTTGATCAGTTATTGGATGCAGGCTGCCCTAGGAGGCAAACTCAGAAAGAACTAGCAGGTAGAGGCTGTCTACCAACATCACTCTCAGCAGTTAAGGAAACAATAGGGAATTTGGGTGCTACATTTCCAGCCCTGGTGGCTCTGTAGGATGAGCACTGGACTGTTAAGCACAAGATTGGTAGTTTGAACTCATCAATTGCTCAAAAGATGAGACTTTGTGCTCCCATGAAGATTTACAGCCTCACCCAGGAGCCCATGGACACTGACCTATCCACTGGGGACTAGAGCTGAGAGTGAAGTGGCTAGCTGGTTTGAAGTGGGGGGAGATATGCAAAACTGCCCAGGCTTGCAGATAATACCCATCTGACCTAGCTCGGATGAGTTGCTGATCAGAACTGGACTAGAGGAAGATTGAGACTTTTTTTTTTTTTTTAGAATTTTGTAAGACTTATTTATTGCCAATACCTTTTTTCAACAACATAAATCCACTCATAGCAACCCCATGCACAGCAGAACGAAACAATGTCCGATCCTGGGCCAACCTCACTACCGCTGCCACACTTGAGTCCATCGATGCTGCCACTTGGCCAATCCATCTTGTTGGGGGTCTTCCTCTTTTTCTTTGACACTCCACCCTACCCAGCATGACATCCTTCTCCAGCGACTGTTTCCTCCGGACAATATGTCCAAAGTAGGAGAGACGAAGCTTAGCCATCCTGGCCTCCAAGGAGCACTCTGGATGCACTTCTTCCAAAACAGATCTATTGGTTCTTTGGGCAGTCCATGGCACTTTCAGTATTCTCCTCCAACACCACAACTCAAAGGCATCAATTCTTCTACGATCCTCCTTATTCACTGTCCAGCTTTCGCATCCATATGAGGCTATTGAAAACACAATGGCCTGGGTCAGGCGCACCCTAGTCCTCAAGCTGACATCTCTGCTCTTCAACACTTTAAAAAGTTCCTGTGCAGCAGATTTGCCCAGTGCAATACGTTGTCTGATCTCTTGACTGCTGCTTCCGCGAGTGTTGATAGTTGATCCAAGAAGAATGAAGTCCGTGACAACTTCAATCTTATCTCCATTGATAAGAATGTTGTTTATTGGTCTAGTGGTGAGGATTTTTGTTAAGTAAGGGATGCATTACCCTTACTTAATTCACCACCCTTAGTAAATTCACAACCCTGATCAAATTTAAGGGAAGTTACCCTGGGGTTAGGCCTGTTGTTGTTAGGTACTGGCCACTGGGTTCTGACTCACAGTGACACTCTGCACTGCCCAATCCTGTGCCATCCACACAATTGTTAAGGTTGAGCCCATTGCTACTACCACTGTGCAAATCCATCTTGTTGGGGGTCTTCCTCTTTTTCACTGATCCCCCATTTTACCAAGCAAAATGTCCTTCTCCAAGGACTGGTCCCTCCTGTATGAAGTATGAGAGATGAAGTCTCACCATTCGTGCCCCTAGGGAGCATTCTGGCTGTACTCTTTCCAGCACAGATTTGTGTGTTCTTCTAGCAGTTCATGGTACTTTCAATAGTTCACTCCAACACCATAACTCAAATGCATCAGTTTTTCTATGGTCTTCCTTTTTCATTATCCAACTTTCACATGCATATGAGGCTATTGAAAATACCATGGCTTGGGTCAGGCACACCTCATTTCACCAACTGATGTCATTGCTCTTGAACACTTTAAAGCGGGGCTTGTGTAGTAGATTTGCCTGATACAATACAACACTTGATTTCTTGACTTCTGCTTCCATGAGGGTTGATGGTGGATACATGGGAAATGAAATCTTTGACAACTTCAATCTCTTCTCCATTTGTTGTTGTTGTTAAGTGCTGTCGAGTCGGTTCCATGAACAGGGTTTCCGAGGCTGTAAATCTTTACAGGAGCAGAAAGCCTCATCTTTCTCCTGCGGAGCATCTGGTAGTTTCGAACTGCTAACCTTGCGGTTCGCAGCCCAATTCGTAACCACTACACTTCTCCATTTAGTGTGATGTTATTTATTGGTACAGTGGTGAGGACTTTTGTTTTCTTAGCATGGAGTCCTGGTGTGGCACTGTAGGATAAGCACTAGACCACAAGGCCCTTTGAATCACAAAGTTGGCAGTTCAAACTCACCAGATGCTGCTTGGAAACCCTATACAAAGTTGATTATGAGTAGGAACCAACTCAATGGCACTTAACAACAACAATAACAACATTGAGGTGCAACTGGTAGATTCGAACTGCTGACCTTGAGGAAAGCAGCCAAACTCGTAATCCACTAAGATACCAGGGCTCCTTGTGATAGGCTACGGTTGATTTTAATTTTTGTTATTAAGTTTATCTAGCTATACTTTCTGATTTTTCTTCAAATAAACTGTGTTATTTGATTAGTCAAGTTTTAAAAAGATACTTTAAAAACAAAAGAAGGAAAATGATGGTCTCCCTGCCTAACCCCTACTCTAATCCTGACCACATTTTCTCAAGTCATCTAAGTACTTTATGTAAAATCGTTTCATATTAATTAAAAAAAGTTACGTAAATTCTTGACAAAGTAATTCAAACGTAGTACAACACTCATAATTTTATCTTACTTTTCCAGTGTTCTTGTCGATGAGCCAATAATCCTATGAAGAACTCAAGAGTCAATAAGGAAAGCATTTGGTGGATTTTGAGAGTGGAAAGATGAGGAATTATCAAATGAATTAAAATTAAATTACCTTTCATGTTAAAATTCTTTTGTCTTCATTTTCTCCTACAAAAGAATGGAACAGACAAATAGGAATAGCCTTATTACTGTTTTGTTTTGCAGCAAAGGTAAATACCCACGTGCAAATGTCCTCTGTTGTTGTTTGGTGCTGTCAAGTTGCTTCCAACTCATATGGATCCCATGAAGTGCTGCCCAGTTCTGTGCCATCCTCACACTTGTTATATTTGAGCCCATTGTTGCAGCCACTGTGTCAATCCATCTTATTGAGGATCTTCTTGTTTTTCTCTGACCCTTACTGTTACCAAGTATGATGTCCTCCAGTGACTAGTCGGTCCTTCCTGATAATATGCACAAAGTACAAGAGATTAAGTGTTGTTATCCTTGGTTCTAGGGAACATTCTGGCTGTATTTCTTCCAAGACAGATTTGTAGGTTGTTCTGGTAGTCCTTGGTACTTTCGATATTCTCCTCCGGCACCGTAATTCAAATGCATCGATTCTTCTATGATCTTCTTTATTTATTGTCCAACTTCACATGCATATGAGACTATTGAAAAATGCAGTAGCATACGTCCGATGCACTTTAGTCCTCAAATTGACATCTTTGCTCTTTAACAATTTTCCCCAACTTTTTATTGAGAATTGAGTGAAGATTTACAGATCATTAATTTTACATTAAACGAATCATATACTTTGCTTCATTGCCTATTTTCTTATCCATTCTGCTATGTCTCTTGACTAGTACACTTAATCCATTTATATTCAGTGTAATTATTGATAGGTATGAATTGATAGTTGTCATTTTTCTGTGTGGTGTTGTTGTGTGTGTGTGTGTGTGTGTGTGGTACTGTAGGATTCTTTAGTCCACATCATTTTCTATGCTGAGTTCATTTTGTTTGTAGGTTTCCTTTTCATTGTAATTTCTAATGTGCTAATGTTTATAAAATATTTCATAT